TTAATTATGAAAGTCTTTATTTTAACAATGATTTAAATGATACGAACCAATAATATGTGAATCTTTTTTTTAGCACAATTATTTCCCATCGTCCACTTTCGATTTTTTGCATATTTTCAGGAATAATTTTATCTTTAATGTTTTGGTTACTTTTCGTGACTTAAACAGATTCCCCTTCATTAAGTACTAAAATTTCATTAGCATCTAGAAAAGTTATAGGAATATTAATTATGTAAGTTTATTTAAACAATAATTTCAATGGAACAAACCAGTTATATTTGAGTCTAGTAAGATGTTATTAAAGATGTCCAGTTAAAATTTAATCGTGACTTTGTTTTTCCATTAAATCTATGAATTCAATTTGAACATCAGGCATTTCAGTAAAATTATTTGGATCTTTAATTGTAATGCTCTGAACTACATTTGCATCGGTATCACTACGAATTACATTTATGGCCACTTCATGGCCTTCTTTCCAAATAGTCTCTATTTCTGTCAGTATTTTAATTTTGTAATTAAACGAACTGGCAGAAGATAAGCTAGCTAAATTTGCCAGTAAATTTGTCACAAAAAGAGCTTTTTTCTCTTTTGACAGTACAGTAGGAGAACCAGCCTGTGTCACAGAAAACGGTTGCACAGAAATGTTCTCGCCTGTAGTGGTAACTCTTGTTTTAACCCTTTGATGTTTTAAATAAAAAATTTTGTCAAATAACTCTTCTAGTGGCAAAAGTGTGCTTACAGGGCAGAAACATTGATGTGAAGTTTATGCAAGTACATTTATTTGTTGACTCCGCTTCGTACATATTTAAAATATGATCTTTTAAAGTACTTTTTTTGAGGCTACAATTTGAAACTGAACATATCTGCTTGCATAGGGTGTTAGATATTCTTCTTACAAACTATCCTTACTGAACAGTGTTATGGGCCTTGTTAAAATTAATCTAGCTGTCCGGTTATCCCTTTCATGCTCTTGAGAATGTAAAAAAATAAAAAAACTTTTTACGAATTGTGTTATGCTACTGTTTTTCTCTATTACTTGTTTTAAGTTTCCATGAATTGCTTCCAACCTATTGCTTGTTCTATTTAATAAATTACCATGGCACATTGCTGTAAACCGTCCATTCGTGTTTTATGGCTTGCCAGTTTTTGTTTTAATACATAATTATTGATTGTAAAGCAGTTTCTTACAAAAGTTGATAATTTATGTCATATTCTTCTTCACTTCGGCTGTAGACAAGATTCTCTAACATCTCTAGAGCTTTAATCCTTTCCTCATTTGTTACATTCATTTTTTCTCTGGATATATATATATAAGTGTGGAATAAGCAAATATATACTTAGGCTTGAGGAAAAATTTCTTTTATGACATTTCTTTTTAGTAAATCCTTATCACCCATAAAACATTTTATTTGATTTTCGCAAATAGAATTCTCTTCTTTAAAAATATTTATAAACCAAGAAAATGTTTCTTTGTCTTCGTGTGCAGTTAAGGCCACGGCAGCTATTTCACTCTGACCATTCGAATCTTCAACAAGCAATAAAAACGCAGTAAATCATAAATTTAATAATTTGTATGTTCCATCTACGGACAAATTCATGCCAGGATTTTATTGCTCTTCTCATGGAATCAGTAGAAAAATATGGGGCTTTAAATTGGTTCACAGAATCATGTAAAATATGAACATTGAATTCTAAAAAATCAATGTGAAATAAATAACTATAAAACTATAATATTATTATATTTATAGTAACTTACTGTAAATATCTTTCAACTCCTTTACTACATGTTCTAAATCATTACTAGCACTCTTCATACCATATGCAATGTTTGATATATCTTTCATTGTGCTCAACTTTCCAGTTGAACTCAATATTTTTTGTTGAATTAGCTTTTTATTTTCACGGACATCCAATAAATGCTCGATAATACTATGTTCATTAGGTTTACGGTTTCATGGTAAGTGAACATACACCACCTTCACGACTTCTTACCGCACCCCCATGAACTCAAATATATTGAACCTCGTAATATTTTTACGCTTTAAAATACTTTTAGCCATCTCAATAGTTCTGCTACTCTTAATAACAAATATTTATCTGTTATCTTTTTCCCATTGTTTAAACATATTGTCAAATTCATTAAAAGAATTAAATAATTGGACACACTGCATAATTAATTTAAACAAACACTAAACAAACTAAAAAATTAAAAAATTCTTTACTAAATAATGTAAAGTGTAAACAGAAAAGTATAACAAACAAACCTAACCTCACTGTAGAAGTTAGCGTACAGGAAGAATATAATCATAGCGCACGCTAAAAAATTACGTCATCTCTTTAATGACCTTTCGCGTGTATGTAACTTCTTGATTTACGTACAAGTTAGCGTGTACCTAGACACAGCGTATAAATTTAAATAATTTTCAATAGTCAAACAAATAACAGTTTCAAATTAAAAACAAAACGTTTCGGGTAACATCACTGGTAACAAACCTTTCGTGTAACGTTACATTACTGGTAATGTTTCTGTGGTATTATTCCAACCCTAGCTAGCTATGGTGTGTGAATAATAGGTACCTAGTAAATAAGAACACTTGGTTCTAATAACTTTTATTATTTAACAGGTAAATTGCAATAACTCCTTATCGATTTAATTCAAAAGGGATTAAAAAATGACAATTAAATTTTACTTTATTCCTGGGGAATATTCAGAGAACAAAATGGTTTATTTATGGAAGACTGAGAACATTAGTGGTAGATTTAGACGAAATGTACCAAAATAAATATTTCCAGAACATAAAAGTATATTCCTGGAAGAACTGGAACCTTCCTAGTAGATTTTGATTTTAAATATTCTATTTATGTTCGCCAAGAACATTCCAAGAACAAGACCAGAATATTCTGTAGTTTTAGGGAATATTAAATATTTTCTGATATGGTTTGACAGATTTATTGCGGTCTTGGTTAATAATTGTTATTATAATTAGAACATTTTATGTATTCTTTAATTAAACAAATTAACAAATAAAACTAAGGTAGTAATAAACTGTTCAGTAAATAAATCCATTTTTTTTCAGTAAAAATAATAAATGTTCAGAAAAAAAATACAAATGTATAGTAATTCATGCACAGTTTTTAAGAATTTTTGTACGGCATTAAGGAAAAAAATATTAAATGTAAAGTATTTTATTCCAATTCCAAGTATAAATACTAAACGTTAAGTAAAAATTAAAACCCAACCCAATCAACCAACGCATCTTTGGATTCGAAATTTCGAAAATTACTATTAGGAACGTTTTAAGTGGTCCCTAATAACAATACAACGAACTTTTGCTCTAAAAGAAATCCCTAAAGTACTTTTCAAAATTTCGACCCAAAATGAGATCACAGTTAGCCATGAGTTTAGTCTACTCCCACCTTTAAAACGCCCTTTATCGTACATGTTTCCATACCACTAAGTGACCTTTTTAATACGCATTGACAAGTTGTGGCTTTATGGCGCTTTAGTCACGGGCTGAAGTTAGCAACAGGTTTTTAGTCACGGGCTGAAGTTAGTTTTAAGTTAGTTGACAGTTGTCAAATGTCATACAATCGTTAAAATAAATTGCCTTTTTTTGTAAAATAATACTAAATGTGAAAATTATTTTATTATCTCAATACAAAAATACAAAAGTATTAAATAGTTTCTCAACGCCAATATTTGAAAAGTTTATATGAACATTGTACTGACCTTTTAATTTCGCCAGCAGTAAACTATAACTTAAATTCGGGCACGGACTCCACTGTAAAGTGCTCATAAAACATTTTCTTTACTTTCACTGTGAAAAACTGTCAATTTTCAAGAAATACATTTAACCTTTATAATCTGTTTTTATAAAATAAAAAGATTTTACATTTGACGGTGACACACAGATTTTCTTATTCTTTCATAGATGGCGTTCTATACAAATTTTTGATTTAAATCATTTTAAGATAATAATAACTATTTGTCGTAGAAAAAGTATAGTATGCACCTCGTTTATAAACTTTTCTATACACTTATTAATTTAAGCAAATTAATAAATTAAATTCTTGTATAAAATGGAGTTTATTAAACTTGATACATAATATACTATTTCAGAGATGCATTCAACGAAAAAAAGATTACGATAATTAGTTACAAAATGCAAATTTAACGAGGGTGGAAAGATGTTAAGTGGGACACACTATTTATATATATATATATTATATATATATATATATTATATATATATATATATATATATTTATATAATTACCAATATGTTACCGAACATCTATTAAATAATTATTATTTTAATTAACATTTATTATTTTTACTTAACATCTAATGAATTATTAAACGAATATTAGCTGTGCATTTAATTTGTTCCCATAAAACTCTACATTAAAGACAATTATACTGCAGGTTAGTCATAGATTAGATATTAAAATATATATGGTTATAATTCTGTGTACAATTTTCGTTGAAAACTGGGTTTTGTTGACATCTTCAAAATAATTTCCTTAATGCAATATAAATTTCGACAATTATTTTACACATTTTGGAAATTAGAAAAAATAGTATAAAGAGATCACTCATAATACTTCTTATGGCATATTCATTATTTTATATATACTATACTATTAGTAATTTGGAAAATATATTTGATAATAATTAGTTTTTTTGTTTTTAATATATATATTATATATATATATATTAATTATAATTAAATAAAACAACATTGCTTTTAAATTCTAATTTTCTTAGTTCTTTCCCCTTTAGCATGATTTAAGCTGATTCTGTAATTTGCTGTAAATTTGCTATTATTTAATTATTATAATACTGGACCTTAATAAAATTTATGAAATAAAATGCAATCATTTTTTTAAACAGGTTTAAATAAAAAATAATATTTACCCTAAAATAGATTAAAATTAAATATTAATAATAAAATCACAACCAAAACCATAAAAAAAAACATTAAAAAGCCTTTACTTACTGGGTCAATAAGAGCATTTACCATAAAATTGGCAAACATAACAAATACCAATAATATAAAAAACATTGCTTTACAATTTTCTACACTAAACTGTTGTAAATTAAATAATGATAGCACTTATTGTTGTTGTATGCAATTAGGTAATACAATGTAATTTTATTTACCAACTTAATATAAATATAAAAAAAATGTTAAAGAATATTATTATGCCAAGAATATTGAAATATTGAATATGATAATATATATTTTATTTAATGTTTTTGTTACGGTAATGCAAAAGCAATCGCTGAAGAATATCGAAGGCGTTTTCCAGGCATAAGAGCCCCATTACATTAAAAAAATAGAATTCTTCGAAAGGTTGAAAATATTAATAGGCTAAGTAATAGAATTAATATTAATAGGCTAAGTAATAGAATTCTTCGAAAGGTTGAAAATATTAATAGGCTAAGTTCTCACAGAGAACCATAGTAATCACAGGTGTCAAAGTCTAAAATAATAAGAGTCTTAAAGAAAATTTATGTTAAAGCTTTCCATTTACAACTATGTACCCTGGTGACGCTGAAAAACTTTTCAATTTTTGTTATTGGATACTGAATTCTGTAGAGGAGAAGCCAGTTTTTTATCGCAAAACATTATGGACTTATGAAGCTTCGTTTACTAGAAGAGTGGTAAACTACCACAATTTGCATGTTCAGTCATAAAAAATTCTCATGAAATTTGGCTTAAGTCATAGACCACAATATTTGTGGCCTTGCCGCCTAGACTGACCTCAGCATCCTTTTATCATTTCATTAGTAATAATATTGAAGATATACTTGATGAGGTGAATGTTAATGTCCGGCAAGAAAGTTGGATATGCCGATTAGGTCCAGTACCATGACCACCGCGATCTCCAGATATTACGCCGCTTGATTTGTATGTATGGGGCTTTTTAAAAGATAAGGTATATGCGGAAACAGTTGCAACAAAGGACGAACTTATGGAAATAATTGAATTTGCGTGCAACGAAATGAGGCAAAATAGACACCATATATCTGCAGCTTTGAATTCCGTAATTCGCAGATATTGGAAATGTATTATTTTTAATTATAAGTTTCTGTTGTAAAATATGTTTAGTGTTTTTAATTTAGTTTATTTCAAAATAAACATTTTTGATTTGCTGCTATAAGTTACTAAGAATGAATCATTAATTAAAATATTACGTACTACGTTTTCTTAAACCCCCTTTTAATTTCAGAAATGTAAAAAAAATATTAGAATAATACTCTTTTGTTTTCTAAAAGAAGCAAACAAGCTTTTGACTGCTCATATTAAAAATGCAAACAAATATTTTTTAGATCATTGGCGTAATATTTTTTTCTCTAAAAGAAATATTATTAACCTCGTAGTATAAAAACAAATTTATTGCCTAACTATGGCACCAAATAAACAATACTCACCAAATTTCCATAAAATATGTTCTTTAGTTTAAAATATATATTTTTTTTTTCAAAATTTACTGTAAAACAATACATTTTACAAAAAAACATCAAAAAAAACATTTTTTCGTAAATTGACTGCTCATATTAAAAATGCAAACAATAGTAGATTATGTCATAAGGAGTAGAAGCAACTGTACGAAGCACAAAAAGAGCTTCTACTCCAAATAACATATACAATTTTTTTTTCAAGGGCGTAATATAAATTAGTGCTGTCAACGATTATCGATTAACCGGTTAACCGGTCATAATTTTATTATAACCGGAAAATGAGGGTATAACCATAATCGGTTATCGGTCAATCGGTTACCGGTTACCAGTTAATCGGTAACCGATTAACCGGTTATGGTTATTATCTGGTCATATGGTTAATCGGTCGACCGATCGGTAGGTAAAGATTTTCTCTGCCCGCTTCTGTACCGGTTTCGGGTGAATCCCCGTCCTACATGCTTACGGTTTTAATTTCAGTTGCATGAGAGTAGTTGGATGATCCACGTTGCAACGTTGTGAATGACATAGTAACTAAGTAGGTACTGTCCTATTTTATTCTAAAATTATATCAAACAACTAATATAAAACGTTCTAATAAATTATACAAAAAATAGTCTTACCTTTTAAGAAAACTAAATAGGTCAGCAGCAGCAGTTCCGCAGTATTCCGCACGTTAATTGTCACAATCAAACGATTAATTAAACAAATCGATAATTATCTTAAGACAACAGTCGTAACTTACTTATAAGACAGGACTGGATTATTCTCGATAAGTGCTGTCTTTCTCGCTCCTGCCTTATGTGTAAGAAAGGAGTGTGAGTGAGAAAGAAAAGAAGCATGGTTTCAGCCTTTCACGCAACGCCTACGGAAAAAGTCGAGCGCGCACGAGGCAGGCACGAATATTTAAATTCTGGCGGCACGAGGCATGGCTGGTACAACGTTGTCGAATTGTGGAAAAAATCCTTCGAAAAAATTGAAAAATGTGCCAAAGTGAAAATTATGAACATTTTACGTCCAGCCAAAGGTATTGACTGGACGCTGGACAAATGAGCCGAAAAGGTGGACGTCCACCCAAATTCTGGACAGTTGGCAATCCTAACTTCAATGTACCCGAGCCCGATGACGACGACGATGAAGAAGACCTAGACCTAGGCATGTACGCTGACCTCGTCTATGAAGAAGTCCCAGATGTAAATGGTGTTGCACCCGGTAGAGTAAACAGAGATTTCGCTGACGGCAGACTTTTACAGAGACGAATCATTCGAGCGCATTTCAAATAGTAGCGATCTTTTGTGATATTTTTGTTGAATGGGTGCATAACATGAATTATGTATGAACCTTAAATAAACTAAAGATAAAGTAAACAAAACACAATAATTTAAAATAAACGTTTGAGCATGTATTAAACAATTATTATTACTTCTTTAAATGTTTTATTGTTGTTCCCCATTGCTTTACTCCAATTCTCATGATCTTTTGATGATTTTTGTATTTGTGGTGTTTTATATTATTTAGACCATGATCGATTAATTATATTAATTAAATTCGGTTATAAATATTAATCGATCATGGCCACGGTTAAATGGTCATGGTCAACTGGTTAATAATGACCATTTAACCGTGACCATGATCGATTAATGACCGGTTATGCAACATATTCAGTAACCGGTTATTTACTTAACCGGTTAATATTCCATGACCGGTTAACCGGGAAAAATTTTAACTTTTGACAGCACTAATATAAATAGGATAAGAAATAGAATTATTTTATCTACTCATAACTCATGTGGTATAAAATTTTGGCTAAAAGCATTAGAAATTATTGATAAAAACTAAAAAAACTTATAACCCTTACTTACAATGCCGATAAATATCCTAAACCATAGATAACAAAGCCTAAACTAAAATTAAACACTGCTCTGTCAAAATGCTGCGCTTGAATTAATTTTGACGTACTGACATTTGTTTGGAGTTCCGACATTGGCAACTCGTCTATCATCATAATATTATACTAATAAACTAGTTGTTCTTTATTTCGTTCAATTAAAATTTAATAAATAATCCCTAAATATTCCGTGCGATTATAATTAATATAATTAATACATCGTGATTGCTTTGTATGATATGCTAAATTAATTTTATTATTTGACGTCTATTGGGACACCTATGGATTTACTTCTATCCCTAGGCTTTTTTGAGTTTTTTGTCTGCCGCTAATGAAAAAGACGCACTTCAACTATCTCTATACAGGCATATAAGGTTGTATATCATGGCCGCTTGAAAAAAATATTTTTTAGATCATTGGCGTAATATTTTTTTCTCTAAAAGAAATATTATTAACCTCGTAGTATAAAAATAAATTTATTGCCTAACTATGGTACCAAATAAACAATACTCACCAAATTTCCATAAAATATGTTCTTTAGTTTAAAAGACATATATTTTTTTTTTAAATTAAATTATTTTGGACCACCCTGTATAGTTTATGCAAAAACTAAAATATTTAAATCTTTTACACTACCTTTTATATCATTAGTGAAAATTAGGGAAAAAGTGTGGGCCTCAAGACGGAGCCCTATTAACAGAGACAAATTGTTTTCGATTTAACAAATACGACTTTATAAAATACGTACTATTAACATAAAAATTATAATATTTTATCTTCTTTAATAATATACTATGTGGAATGCAGTCAAAATCCTTTTGTAGATTGGAAAAGGAAATACCAATACATTTATTTGTTTCATATCCGTCAATAATAGTATTTACTGCATCGGTGGTAGATCTATTAGCTCGAAAACCATATTAATGGCAATAAAACATGTGAGTTCCAAAATGTTATGTTATTTGGTTACTTATATACAACCATTTCAAACACTTTTGAGAAAATGGCAGTATGCTTATAGGTCTAAAGTTATTAAAATCGTTTATGCAGTAATATTACTTTTGCGACATCAGGAAAATTGCTTTTTTCTAAGCTTTTGTTTATTAACTTTGCCAAAGGCACTGTAATATTATTACATTCACTTAACCAATGAATCGGATACACCATAACAATCCTACCTATTTTTATTTTTTACTCACATGGGTATCTAAGAAAATAAAAATTTGTTTTAATTTATACCATGTATTTTTTTTTGTTATGCATATATGCATGTATGTCAACTAATTAAATAATTATTTTTTTATTTAGATATAAATGTTATTAGAAGGCTAAATGTTGCAATTTACTAGGTATTATGACGTAGTAGTTTAGTATAATTTGTATTTAATTTTTATTATAGGTACAGCATTTTCATAAGCCTTGACACATACATTTTGGTTACAAGTGGTAGAAACTATATCTATTATAATTTTTTAAACTTTTAGCCTAAAAATATAACATACAAGGCACATATAGCAATTTATAAAAAATAATTTTTCTTTTAATTTATTAATATTTGTAACAAAACATACATTATGATACATACAAAAACAAAATAAATCCTAACAATCCCAACATGGCAAAACAGGTTAACAGAAGAGATGATTTTCTTTTCGTTTTTCTTAATTTTGTAGATTTTTTTATTTTAAGTTTAAATTCGTTAATTTTGGTATCGTATTCGAGAGCTGAAGTCGTACACATATTTTGGC